AAAAAAAAAAGAAAAACTTAACAAGAATTGCGTAGACTGCATCATACAATGAGCAACAACGTTTCGAAAACGAACCTAAGCCGGTCCATTGACTATTTGGACACAAAAATTACGACGTTCCTCTTACTTTGCTTTAAAAAACCTAAACGATATGTACATCATCGATTGATTTTTTTTCATTGACAACTCTCCTTGTCGAATTTTTTTTTTACACACGGTATTTACACGTGAACGACTAACGTGGTCGTTTTTTTTTTTTTATAGATTACTAACCAGCGAATCAATGGAATGATTTCGACAAAAAAAAAAAAAAAAAAAAATTAGGTTTGACAATTGACGAGAAAGTGCTATAAAAATACGGGACATATATGGATGGTTTTTCAACAGTGGATTAAAAAGTATACAGAAATAGATTTTTTGTCCCGTCTGTTACACCGACGATTGTCAAACGCTGTTTTATCACTAAGACTGTACGATTTAAAGCACCAGAATATCTCTTCAGCAGTAATATATCTTCGGTCGACAATTTCTCTCTCAACTTTATCCTCGGATAGGAACGTTTCCTGAAAGACAGTTAACATCTTTCTGCAGCCTGCAACTATAAATTCTCATGTTAGATATTTTTATGAGCCAGCTTTTCGAACCCTTCAAATTCTACATTCCGTGTGCATTTCATGAAAATCGTTTCGACTACTGGATGTTCTCTACGTCTCAAACAAAAAAAAAAATCCTCGTTTACCATATATTTTAGATTCAGAACCACGTCACTTTTTTCTCGGGAATCATTTCTCTGCGATTAATTTCCCTATTGCTCCTTAAAGAATTTTTCTGAATTAATAGATGCTTACGCTCTTCAAATTCTCACGACCACCGAAGTTCCGTATCGATTCCAACAAAATGTCTCGTTGATCAATTTGTATGGGCACCGACTTGGGTCTGGCACTTTTCAAAGTCACGCCTGTTATTACCGGCATTGTGGGGGGTCTCGGAATGCCATTTGATTCTTTGGACGATCCTTTAGTACCGTCCTCCTTCACTCCCTCCTTCGAACTACCTTCTTTTATCGCATTAATGTGACTCTCATGACGTTGACCTCCGTCGATCTTTGCGTTCGAAATTTTAAATCCTTTCACAACAGGCAGTGACTGACTTCCTTTCGCGTTTGTGCCATTTCTGAACGTCAAGTTGCTTTGATTCTGCCCCTGAATGCCCACTACCGAAGTGAACCTCTTCGGTACGTTGTTCTGATGGCCATTTGTTAAACACTGATCCAGATTATGTCCATTCTGTTTATTGCTATCACTCTCCAATTGAGAATCTGAGCGTGGAATTATACTGGCCCTTTTTGGCTTCGCTCGGATGCAAACATCTTGACCGAACGCTTTCGTCAACTCTCTGAAATTCACTGGAGTGGTGTCTATCATGCTGTCATCCTGCTTGTTCTCAAGGAAGCTCTTTTTCAGCTCTACCCCTGTTACAACCGGTCTGTCGTTAGTGACTTTTGGCACTGAATTGTTTACCTTATTTAATACTGGCTTCTTGAAGCCTGTAGCTGTTGTATGAGTGATCAATTTCTTAGTCAACTCGTTCGGCTCCTTTTTCTCTATAATCTCGAATTTACTTTTCTGTATTTTGATGGGGCTGTCGACGTCTTTAAAAGAATCGACTTCATCTTTGGAGTCACTTATATTGATGATTGTTCTGTTGCTGGCTTGTTTCACTCCGAATTTGTAGTCTGTGTCCATTTTTATCTGGACATTGATACTCGGTCGTTCGGACCAACTACCTAAATTGATCATAGGAGGTCCTGAGTAAGTGTATCGTTTCGTGTTCGTTTCTGGGATCGGTCTTTTGGATTCTAGCTCTACGTCCTTGTTGTTTGGTGCCGTCTGAGACTCACGAGACGGAACTGCATTCGATTCGGTCGAATGTACATTGGACAAGGTCTCGGATCTAGCAAATAAATGAACCATTAATTATCTTTAAATGTAAAAAGTCTTAAATTCAGAGGAATTTTATACTCACCTCGTTTTTTCAGATAATACTGCATCATTCAAATCTTTGGACACATTTTCCTCCGCCTGTTGAGCATTTTTCAACTGCGGTAAAATGCTTTTTAGTACCTAAGAATAAATTGCTTGTTAGGATCACGAGGCAATTTTTTACAAAAAAAAAAAAATTATTGCACACTTACAGTACTTAAATATTTAACGAAAGAAATTTCTTATCTTTTACAATACTTTCTCAATATGAAACAAAATTAAATAT